GCTGAGTAATGAGTGATGGGCCAAATTACGGGCTGAACAATGAATAGAGGCAGGCAGCTCTTATTAGTCTCCATAGAAAGCCATTGATTTATGAAGCGTCTTGCTCACTGGAGTTACTCTCCTGAAAATGATATCTACATCGAGAAGTGATGTTCTCTATTAAGTCGTTCCTTCCCCCTTTACACTGCTCTCCTCCTCGCCTCCCCTCCTTCGCTCGTCTGCCCCGGAGTGGCTCCCTCCCTCGCCTCGTCCTGCCCATGAGTGTACACATGATTGTTTAGAATGAGGCGGAGCTGTAAGGAAGCCTTCAATTACCCATTAGGACTGTCAGACATAAAACGCCCTGCTCTCACCCAAGTCTGGGTTATGATTCATTTACTTTGTGCCTCTGATTCATCGCCCAATATGCCTCATGCCCCAGATTACTATTTGAGGGGTAGGGGAGATTAATGGCTGCACGGGATCAGTTGCCGTATTTCACAGGCCCAGTGTTGCAGTACGGTTGGTGCAGAAGGGTGAAATGACAGCAGTCCACATTAGATCAATGTGTGGACAGGCCTTTCACAGATTATTAAAGCTCTGTTAGATTAAAAGACCCCCGCGATGTCGTTTGCTGTAGTCAATATTCTGGAGCAGATAAAAAGGGGGAGGGTCCCGTGATCGACTCTCACGCTGATGTAGGCCATCATGGCTTTTAATGGAATAACACTCGATGACACCGATGTCAGAGGAGGCCGTGTCATTTCCCAACACTTGGCCCCCTGGAGCTGCTGATGTTTCATAAAACATTGTCTGGCCCCTGAGGTTTCTTTGAAATTAGGCATTCTGAAATGACTTCTGTACTCTAAACTCTGACTGATTTCTCATTGAGCTTTTTTTTTTTCTTTCTCCGATAAAATGAACTCTAACATCGTTCTCATTCTTTTTCTTTTTTTGTCTTTCAGCCCTGAACGAGCCAACCATCGACTATGGTTTCCAGAGGCTGCAGAAGGTTATCCCCAGACACCCCGGAGATCCTGAGCGGTTACCGAAGGTCAGTCTGCACCAAAGATCTGAATGAGACCAGAGTCTGAACGCAGCAAATAAAACCAAATCTGCTTTACAAAAACAACGCAGCTACTGTTGTGGTGGTAGTATCGGCGGCGTGTGCAGAGGGAGGGAGGCGTAAACTCTCTGTGTGGTAGAACAGCTCAATCAGGCGTTTTCCTCTCCAGTAGTCTGTGGAGATGCTAATCTGGTCAGAAACCACGTCTGCACCCTCATTACCCCACTCATGTTTTTCTTTCATTTTCTGCAGCTCTATTTGGTTTAATCTTTTGTTTACAGAACCCTGTGCTGTAAACCCCCTCGTCTTACTACAGCTAATAGACACAGGCCGCACGTTATTACGCTTCGCCTTTCTTATTGTTTTCTTTTGAACCTGGGCGAACCGGCCGAAAGCCACATGAGTTTGAAAACGCACTGATGTGGCAAACAAATGGGCCGCCATAAAAAACCCCAAAAGTCCAGGTCTTTAACAACCGCTCTCCGCTCTCTTTGAATCTTTAATTACATTCATCTACTCCGACTCGCCCCCTCTTTTCATTTCCTATTGATAAAAATCTATCAGTGTTTTCACTAATTGCTACCCTGCCAGCAGCCATTTGGATGAGTGACATTCCAGATGTGTGAGGTGTAATAATATGACTGATTAGTACGTCCGCCAACCCCACGGCAAGGTAGTAAAGTGACGGCCACCTCAGAGTTTTAATAATACTGTTGCACCTTTAAAGGCCCGATCTATTAAGTCCCAGCATGCAACACAGCGATATCATTAAGGTCCAATGGACAATTTAATAAAGAACAGCCCGTGTGGTAGCTGTAGATGTTTGACCAAGGCAACATGGAGGAGTGGAACATTACAGTGAGTCCCTGAGTTCAGTATATGAAGTGTTTCAATTAGACTCCATCCCCGTGGAGACAGGAAACAACACACAGACATGAAATGTTGCTCTAATTTCAACTGAGTACACTCACCTTTAATATCCACACGGCTCTCTCTATCTCCGTGGGCATAACTGGTCAATCTAGGTGCAATGCTTCTATGTTATAAAGTCACTGTATCTTTGTGAAAAAAAAAGAAAAAAAGAAAAAAAAATTCTTTTCACCTTTTCAACAAAGGGAACCGCGATGTTAAACACAGCTTTTTCGCAAACCTAATTTCTTTCTTTGGTTACCAAACACTGCTCCGCTGCAGGACAGATTTTTGACACTGAACCCGAGATTAGTTTCCTGGGTGTGCATATACTTAATATAGCACGGTCTCCCAGCCTTTGCATGAAACAATCACAGAGTGAGATGAAACCCTGCACCTCCAATAAACAACATAAATATTTGATTTGCTCTCTAATGGACCCAAATATGGGGTTCAGGGGGCATGTAAATGATCCCGTGGAGTGATTCGTCATTGTTAAGCCTGCCATCTGAGGGTCAGCTCTGGGGGTCAAAAGCACATTCCCAATAAAACAGCCCGCGGCATGGCCGGGGCTGGCATGTACATTTGGAATGAGCAGTGAAACGGCATATAGAGAGCAGCCATTATAGGGTGCAGGTGAGGTAGGCAGACTCTATAAAAAGAAGATAAAGCTGGAGGACGCTCGGTGTGCATTAGCGGAAAGGCAAATCGACACCAGGCCCACTCACCGCCTCTGCCCAGAGCCCCCCCTCCACTCTCCCTCAAACCCCTCTCTCTCTCTCTCTCTCTCCCCTCCAACCCCTTCCCATGACTTCACCCTTCAGTTGATAATATTACTGCACTATTGATTTTCACCAGCCTTCTCCCTGGGACCAGTAAGACACGTGGTAATTGTAAGGAGACAGAAAGCCAATATGGGAGTGCTCATGGATAGCAAGGGATGCACGCTAATATTGTTGCTACACTGAGAAAAAAAAAAAAAAAAAAAGAAAGGGGGGAAAAGCTGCCTCTGATTGAAGTTTACCTCGTAATTCTAAGACAACATCGCAGATGACAGTCTGACCCTGTGGGAGGAGTGGAGATATAAAAATTCAATGCAAAGTCCAGGGTGAATATGAAAGTAATAAGTGTGAGCAGTCAAGTGATGAGAAGGGAGATTGGTTTGCGGGCATTGCGTTAAGTGAAGAGAGACTTTGGAATTCACCCTCCTTTTTAAGATCTTGTTATAAAACAATTTTCTATTCATAATATAAAAAAGACAATTTATAATACCATTTTGTGCCCTCTGGCAGTAATGGACAAATAGACTGGATATCACATTATATCACACTCAATTTCTCTCTTCTGTAACAAATTAGATTCATTATGAAATTAAATGTGGAAACTCAATATTGTTTTATTATTAAGCTGATTGCTTTGCTTTCCTTTCTTTGCCTCCAAAATGAGCGTGAGGCCTTTTTTTTTCTCTCTCTCTCTCCCCCAATTCTTTGTGTAATCCACAAGGAGAAAAATATTACAAATGTGTTCATGTCAAGCAATTACCCATGTATTTAAATGAATCTCTCTTCCTGTGCTCTTTGAAGTACCTTCATCTAATGGCCCTATGCTTCTAAATGCATTCATTACCTCGGGCTAGAGCTAACAGAGTAATTGCCTTACAGTTTTAAAATGGCATTAGCACTCCGAGCTACATAACCTAGGTCCTCTTTTATTAACCGTGATAACATAAATACAACATCCATGTTAATCTGGGGCTTGAAGAATCACACTCAGGCCTTTATTGGGTTATTGTTTGATTTTTTTTTTTTTTTTTTGGTCAAAACGCATAATTCGTTACGGTTTCACTTCCTTTTCTCCGGCGTTTGTCGGGAGCAACGTGGAGCGGCGTCCAAATCTTAGGCGATCTGTCATCCCAACGGCTCCGTTTAAACTGCCGTTAAACACGAGGCCTTTATGCCACGCCGGGCAAACAATAGCAGAAATCTGTCACGCGTTTGTCACCCAACAACAGAAATCATATGAGGCCTTTAATTGTTTCAATTTAACATGGTGTGTTCTGATATGTCTCCATGACAAGAAAGCCAATTACACTTATGCTGGAGTAGCGTTGAGATTTACATGGAAATGCCCCCGGAACGCTATTCCGTGTTAATCGTATTCACAGCGTGAGCTGATATGCATGAAGGCGTTTCGTCAGAAAAAGGAAAACAAACTTCTCCCCTTGATTGGCTGCCGCACTTCTCATCACCCTCAGATATGACTAGGTTGCCACTTAAGCATAGCTTTGCCAGTCAGCGCGGTTAGTTAAGACACCATGCGGTAAACGACAGATTAAGGATGAGAGGCAATATCGTTTTCTCTCCTCCGTGTTTTTTTTTTTTCTTTTTTTTCCAAGCTGTCCTTATGTCACTGCTGCAAAGTGCCATATGGACAAGGAGGGCGAGGACGTTTTAAAGAGAATGAAACATGGCATCGTGAATGTGGCAGTCTTAATTGCTTTAATTGTTATTTAAAATTGAGAGCCATGTAGGAGATCTTGAAATATGATAGAATAGATTATTGGTAATTATTAACTCCAGACAAAAAAAAGAAAGAAAACCACTTTATCTCACTCAGCGAGAGAGGGAGAAATCTGTTCTGCCTGATGAGAACACATCAAGACAGCTGGTCCTCTCATTTAGTCTACCTGCCTCACGACAACCATAATTCTTTATTTGTATGCAAACTAGATGCATGCAACATTGAGCATACACACCAATTTCAGAGGTAAATGCCCATTCTAAAAGCCACCCGTCCAGTAAGGCGGGGTGGATTAAGCGATATGTTTCTATAAGAGGGCACGGCGTCCGCTGGAAGTGGCTCCTACAGCGATTCATCTTGATAAATCAAGGAACGCGCTGGATATGCTACTTAGGATGAAAGGGCCCGAACACACGCTCCGTACACACTACATACAACGTCGTCTTTGGGAACGCAGGCCAAGTCTTGGAGGCCGCTATTTGAAGGCGCGAAGGCTGTGTTTACATTCATTTGCCGCAGCTGTCGTCTTAATCCCGCACTGCTACTGCCAAGTGATGGAACACTTCAGACAAATTACCGAGGCCTGCAAAGGAAAACATAGGGAAAAGCAGGGAGAAAACAAGCACCATCTGAGATGTTTCTGCTGGCAGATTTGCATTGCTTTTAACCAGGGTTCTAACAGCACAGTCAACAAATCTCCACTCTACAGCAGGTGACAACTCACAGGCGTTTTTCAACAACAACACCACCACCACACGGCCACGTCTGCGACTCGCCTTTGTCAGATTAAATACATTCTCCAAAGGAGGAGAGGGTTTTCAGAGAGCGTATCGCCCTCCGTATTATAAAAAAAAATAAACAAAGAGAGCATTCTGGCTGCTTGAGAGGGATTTAATTGTAAACGGCGAATTCAAAGAGGAGATAAAGACGCACCAACAGGCAACACTCCACCTAACTGAAAGCCTGAAACGGATTGGGGGGGGGACGGGATCTGGGGCCAACTCATTTTCAGTGTTAAGAGCCAAAGCAACATGGCTAATCCGCATTGTCAAACAGGGGCAAGCATGCAGACATGGATAAGACCACATCCTGAGCATCCGTGTCCCCGAGGCACGGGCACCCAGCACTTGCTGGATGGGAAGTCATTTGTGAAGTCCTTCGCAACATCCAGTCAAAGAGGTTAATTGAAAAATTCCTTAATGTCATTACAACAGAACTAGATTAACCCACAGCTAATTCACTTTATTGTTCTGAAGAGATGAGACTCGGTGCTGAACTCCAGAGCAGACGTGGAGCCTAGAATCAGGGCTGAGGTGTTGGGTGTTTTTTTTTTTTAAGGACTATGCCAGTTTAATTAAGATAGGGAACATTATTCACTGCTCTGCATGGTTGGAAGGAGCAAAGTGGTGGCGCTGTGGAAAGGCAGCACCGCCGCCGCCACCTCCACTTAAATCAGGGTAGCTTTTATTAAGGCAGCCAGATGTGTGAACATTTCTTAATATCTCTGTGACCCTGCTGTGTAATTAGGGCCCGAGCACCGGAGACGACAACACATGTCGACAGACAGCAGCACAATAAGAAGAGACGAGAGGAAAACCTCAGTAGAAACACAACCACTGGATTAATGAAGATGAATTATTATTATTTTGTTCTTTAATGTTAATGTAGCAGTTAGCACGCCTGCTTTACACGCAGAAGGTCCTTGGTTTGAGCCCCTGTGGTAGCACATGCCCAATGGCACCTCCTGTGGCAGCCTGTGTGGGCTGCAGAGTCACGCTGTGAATTTCCCCACAAATTTTTTTATTTAATTTTTAATATATTTAAAGTCTGAAAATTTAAATGAATTGCTAACGATTAAAAGTTATGAAAAATAGTGCTGAGCGACTATTATTATTTTCAACTTCAAGTCAGTTGATGACATGGACCTGCAGGGGTTCATTCAGAGGTCACGATGTGCATCAATCCACGCCTGTGTTTCATGCCCTGATATTTGTACATGAGCATCTTCAGCTCCAGCATCATCATCATCATCATCATCATCATCATCAGGTCCCACCAGGTGCTCGTGCCCCTCCAGCGCCGCCTGAAGGCCCAGTGTTGGCTTGAAATTGTTTGTAACTGTAATAACAACCAGGGTCACGACTTCGACGTAGTTTGGCCCTCGTGTTTACGCTCTCTTTTCTGTCTCCCTCACCCACCAGGAGGTGTTGCTGAAGAGGGCGGCTGATCTAGTGGAAGCCCTGTACGGGATGCCCCACAACAATCAGGTGCGTAGCCACGCAGCTGCTCCTGCAGGTGCACACCTCTGCTACCCCAGAAACCATTGGATATTTACTGATAGCATCACCAAAGGGCGCTCTCATCACTCATGCTAGAGGAATGTAGGCCACATGCGTAGCCGGTTAACCATACAGCCATGAAGCATGCATCAAAGGGGAAAACAGAGCTACGAGAAAGCCATAAATAACAAAAAAAAAACAACTTCCGTTTCTTCTCAGGAGATCATTCTGAAGAGGGCAGCTGACATCGCCGAGGCCCTGTACAGCGTTCCCCGCAACCACAACCAGATCCCCTCACTCGCCAACACGGCCTCCCATGGCATGATGGGAGTGAACTCTTTCGGCAGCCAGCTAGCAGTCAACGTGTCCGAGTCACAAGGGAACGACCAAGGTGTGTGATTTAGGATATGACTTCAGAACTCAGTGGGTCTCAAAATGGGGTTCGAGGACTTGGAGTGTTTTTTTTGGAGGGGGGGGATTTTATGGTGTTTTTTTAACAATAAATCTGTCAGTTTTAAAGAACAAAAAACATGAACGTATGAGAAAGATATGATTTGTACTATTACAAAAAAATATATGAGAACAGTTTGAAATGAAATGTGACAAATTCCTCCATAATTTAAACTTGTTGTTTCCACTACCAGCAATTTCCACCTGTTAAAAAAATTATTTCCTCTCCTTTTTTTGCACCATCTGATTTCCACGATAATGTGATATTAATGAACCTGGAGCTGAGGTCTGTCCTCATTGGACAAACCACTGACCACTGGCTGCTCTCTCCTTAATTCTTCCTTCAAACATGTTCACCAAAACCACTAAGTTACATCATTAGGTCGTCTTAATTTCTCAAACTTCTAACTTAACAATTTTCAGATTATTATCAGTGAAATTTCAATTCCCTCCACGGTTTCCTGTTGCGTGTCGTACAGAAGTTGACTTGGAATGAACCGTTTGCCCCCCCCCCCCTTCTCCGTTCTCCAGTGGGCTACAGCCGGAACACCAGCAGCGTGTCCCCCCGGGGCTACATCTCCAGCAGCACCCCGCAGCAGTCGAGCTACAACACCGTCAGCAACAGCATGAATGGCTACGGCAACGCCGGTATGAACCTGGGAGTGCCGAGCTCCCCCGGGTTCCTGAACGGATCCTCTGCCAACTCCCCATATGGAAGTGAGTAACTTGCCACCATCACGGGGTGTAGTAGCACTAAGCTGCTGCTGATTTAATTCCAGCTCCCACATTCGTTTTCACTTCTATGAATCAAGACTGACAGGGTTATAACTTTATTGATGGTGATAATATATTACTATTCATCGGTGGAGGGTTGTTTGGTTTTACTGCTCCGGAAGAACACACACACACACACACCCATGTATCCTGTGTTAGAAGAAGTATTCATTTTTATGTGTATTTCATGTGTAAAAAACCAACAACAACAACAACAACAACAACTAGCACCTGTATTTGCTCAACCAGACAAGATGTTGATGGTAGAGGCCTGTGAGTACTGATCGTGTATCCCCCCTGGCAGAAATACTATCCCCGGACTTACCTTAACTGCCCTCTCCCTCTCCGGCACAACTCACAGCACGTTTCTTCCTCTCTCACCCTCCCCCCCCCCAACCTTTCCTCCTCTCTTTTTTCCTCCCCTATCGCCTCTGCAGTTAAACAAAAGAGCGCCTTCGCCCCTGTGGTCCGACCCCAGGCCTCCCCACCCCCCTCCTGCACCAGCGCCAACGGCAACGGACTGCAAGGTGAGCCCCCCTCACCCCCTCATCCCTTCCCTACGGACTACTGGTCAGATACCGCTGCTCAGGCCTCTGTCCGGTTTGGTGAGGGATTTATCATTACAAATATATGCATTTTGACAGGCCAATTTACACCTTTCACTTCACACTCACACACACTCACACTCACACACTGACACACACACACACACATGCAGCAGGAATCACGTCTGTGCAAACATACATGCAAACACGGATTCTCGTCGCCCTTTCGTACACACGATCCGCTGCGACGGCGCGGGATAAGACCTTTCCGGGATTGTTTTAGTAATTATGTTTATTAGGTTTTGTGCACGTGTCATGACCGACCTGATTGCTTCGAAAACAAGCTTAGCCGTAGTGTGTGCCCCAAGATTAATAACATTGGGCTTAATGAAGTGGGAAATTAAAGTTCATCTTGCTACACGTTCATACTTATTAATACACGTTGTGCAGAAATTAATGAGCAATGCCTCGCCATCATCTGCGCTGGCAAACTTAAAAGCATTTCAAGCATGACTCTACAAATATACTCGCAGCAACACGACCATACATCATCCCGGCACTTCACTGGTCGCCTAATTGTTAAAACGTGTGAAAATACTGAATATATAAACTCCGGGCTGAACTACAGTTACTAATGATATCTGAAGCAGATGGTTGTGTAAAATAAAGGAAGCTACCTTTGATCTCGCCTAATCTCTCTTGGATAATGACATAGACGGCCGACTTAGGGAACGTGAAAAGGCAGGACTAATGCGCTCCGCAGAGCTGAGGAGTGGGGAATAAAGATGAGAGAGAAAGAGAGAGAGAGCAGGAATCTGAGGGGAGTCTGAGGAGTGGCCCGGTACTGTATAGCATTGTGGGAAATGACCGTGTTGTTGCTCTGCCGTCACCACGGCTGCATCTCCTGGGAGTCTGGGCCACTGTTTGCCATTACCCCAACACCAGGAGAAATATCACACATAGCAAGAGTGGCATGCTGGGGGCTGAAATGTCAAAGCAAGAGGGAGGTTTTCAAACTCTCCCTGTTAGGAGGATGTGCAGCAGCAGCAGCAGCAGCAGCAGCAGCAGCAGGACACGGCAAACACTCCCAGGCGCAGATGTAAACACACACATTAAGCCGTACATTACCGCACTCGTGTCAGACGGCCGCACTTACACCAACATTTATATGCAACGCCCACATAAATGCACGCAAACACTTTAGCGTTTTTTTTCATATATATATTTGTCTCTTTTTTGTGTGTGTGTCCACCCTGGTCCAATGAGTTAATACCCGTTTTGTGCTTGTCTCTTGTCTCTGCAGCCATGTCCGGCCTCGTTGTCCCTCCAATGTAAATGCACTTTCATCATCTCAAGCACCAGTCTACACTCCACTACTTCACTTCAGAAGAATCCCCCCCTGCTTACCACAGCACACCACCAAACGCTGGTGTAATGTATAGTCAATCACTTAATCTGTTTTTTTTTTTTTTAAACGAAGATTTTTTTTTTTTAAATGACTTTCGCCAACCTGCAGAAATAAAAGGATTTTACAGAGGAACATTTTTTTTTTCTGCGGGATTGTTTTTTGTTTACTTCTCTCTCTCCATTAAATCCGCCTCGAGGAGGACACGGGATGATGAAGGGTTTATTTTGTATACGTGTCGGGTTGTACTTCGGCGTCGGATATGTCCATTCATCCACACGTTTAATACTGGAAGGGACTCTGTGGACTCGCCATCTGGTTGTAAAGTAAAACACACTGATGTACAGTACATTTGCCAACGAACTTGTTTGCCTCAGAATTTTCTTTTCCTTTTTTTTTTCTCTTCTCTCCGTTTCTGTTCCAACTCTTTTAATAGATTCACAACAGTTGTGTGTCTTTATAATGTGACCTTTTTGTATTTTTATGTGTGCGGAAAATACACAGGGGCCAAGACGGTTTGAATTTCAACTGGAGAATATATGAGATATATATCATGTAGAAAAATTGATCATAAAAGTAACAAACAAATAAGAATAAAAGGTGCGGGGCGGGGGCCGGGGCGGGGAAGGATGTATCATGTTTCATTCCTGCATTTTAACTTAAATTTTGTAATTTATTGTAGCTAGATATTTTCAAAAGTCAAACGAAAAAAAAACAACAACAACCAACAACCCACTTTGAGTCAACAAGCACACTGACGTGTACAAAACACTGCTCTGTTGATGAATATGATGTACTTCCATGTCTAGAGCTTCCTTTTAAGCAAGTGTGTTTTGCCATGTTTTTCAACTTTTTTGCTAGCACTGTATATTAATGCATTCCTAGGCTACTGTGAAGTCTGTTTCTTGTTGATGAGGAGCAGTCTCCCCCCCTTCTAGCTCCAAACTCCCTTATGTGTTTTATATGTGGTTAAAAAAATTGTAGACTATTGTGATATTGCCAAACTTGTGCTAAATATTTATACATCTGTCTTTTTCATGTTCTTTTAGATCAACGACAAAAAAAAAGGTGAAAAAAAAAGTTTGAAAAAAAAAAACGAAAACAAAAAAAAACAAAAACAAAATTTAAAACCATCGAGAATGTAGGAAGTATAGTAGATCATCGTCATATTTCTGTTCCAACACACACTTGCGCTCACTGAGGGGAAAATTTTTGTAACATATCAACTATAAATAATGTATTTATCTCTGATATTTTGTATATTGCTTTTCATTATGTATGTATTAATCGTCATGCCCTTAATATAGTGATGCAGCACAGATGATTCAGCCAAGAACTGTTGCCTTCATTTGTTTTCTTTTTGTATTTGATGAAATGCAATGTGCATATATTTCACGTGTATCCTCAAAAAAGTTTGTGTTACTCCTGTCGAGACTCTCTGTCCATTTTTTTTTTTTTAAAGGGGAAGTCAAACTTCATTGTTTATTTTTATATTGATTTTAAATTATCTATACAGACCATTTTGGAGAAAACTTTGTTGGTTGTATTGTCAAATAAATTGTTTGTGACCCATATGATAGTTGTTAAGATCCAATAGAGACTAATGTGCATGAGGGACAACCTTGGAGATAAAAAAAAAAAAACACTCCATTTGTGGTTGTACTTTTTTCCCCCCCTTCTGTTTTGTAGAATGTATAGAAGTCATTTTTACTCACCACTTATGACTCTGCCACATAGCTTACATGTGTTTACAGGAAAGAAGAAAAATTTAAATCTGTCAACATTTGGAATGGAAACAGAAATGGATTAAGTGATGTTTTATTAAAATTTTCAGTAAAAAAACACACACACTAGCTCCTCAACTGTCAACTTCTTCTGTTTCCAGTACAGTTTGGCTGGCAGACCAAAACAAAAAACAAAAAAAACCTTAGCGATAACTGTCGAAAAAAAAGTGTCCCCAAAGCGTGACTTTAGCTCTGACGCTGCTCTTCTCACTGTATCAGCCTTCATCTGCAGCAGTCATTCATAAACATCTCCAGCTTTTTTATTCAAAGCAGCCCAAACAGGGCTCATTCAAATCCCTCATTTTATTGCATTAAGCCGCCTGGTTAATAAAGAATCAATACATTGAAAGAGCAAGGTTATCCTTTGTCTATAAGGGCTGGTATCGTTTTGAACCTCTTATAGTTTGAGCAATGAAAGGGGGGCCTGAGTGAAATCTATACTCATCAAGTGGGTCAAACTGAAGGATAGGAGTGTGTGAGGGAAGAACACTGCTTCCCCTTAAAAACAACTGAGCATCTTATCTGGCATCCTGAGCAGGTCACAAAATGTCAATTTCTCATCAAGGCAACATTGTCCACGGCCACCTCTCCCTTTAATGCACAATTAAACAGCGCCAGCTTGAGTGGCAATCAGCATATCACAGCTTATTATGTCAGACAGGCGGGCGGAGATCTCGCCGCGGCCGAGAGCTGATAGAGTCCGCGCGCTGCTGATAGCGTAAAGGACGGGGGTACGCTCGAAAGAGCCATTTCATTTTCGGCCTACGATCGCCTTGTGCTTCCAATCATTCCCTCGATAATCCACCCAGTCTGATAACAACGGCCACACATCTGCTTCCTGACGTCGTATTATCTGTTTCAGACACCGATACACAGGTTCTCGGCTGTAATGCCTTCCTTACTGCTCTCTTACTCAATGACAAAATGATTTGTTTTTTTGTTTTAATTGCTCCGTGGCCGAGGCCTAGGAAGGGGGCGCTCTCTCTCTCTCTCTCTCTCTTGATACAAAAACAACAACCGACGGAAGAAAAAAAAAAGATGCTAGAGAAAAAAAAGGACAATTCCTGAGGTTGAAGGTGCAATAAAAGATGACAAGTCTGCTGGGTTGTTCCCGGTATTAAGAGAGCGCCGAAGCCTGGCAGGCAGAGTGAAGGTACAGTATATTGTCTCAGCATGTTTCTCTGTACCCGAGCGGCAGCCCCCCAGCTCTGCCACAACACTCAATCATCGTGAGAGCCTCTTTATTGGAGAACTCTAATGGCCACCCTCCACCATGATCTTAATGTGTACATTAAATATTTATAAATCCCGGGTCAATAATGCCCCATAACCCGAGCCTGACAGACTCCCCCTTAACTCCCCCCCCCCCCACCATAGCAAGTGGGCGCCTCCCCCCCCAACACACCCCCACGCCCACCG